CGGATGATATATTAGTTTCAGTTAGTGGTTCAGTAACGAAATTGTAGATGTAATGAATAGTGAAATGAGCAAACTCAGTTTATGGTTAAAAACAAACAAGATTAAATTAAATGTGAGAAAAACGAAATGTATGATTATAGGTTCGAAGAATAATTGCAAGAAATTGGTAAATTTAAACATGCCAGTGAAAATTGAGGGAGAGGTACTTGATTTTGTAGATAGTGTTAATTTTTTATTTATTATAATAGATCAGCAACTAACTTTCAACAAACATTTGAGTATATGTGTCGGAAATTAGGCAAAAATATAGGGTATTTTCGTAGAATTTGTGAAAATCTAAGTCGCTGGTGCAGAAGGGTAGTCTACAATACAATAATTTTTCTTCATTTTACTTATTGTGCATCACTTTTGATTACATGTACAAATGAGCAAAAGCAAAGGTTGCAAATTCTATTAAATAAATGTATGCGGATTTTGTTAAATTGTAGCAGGTATACCCATATACACGAAATGCTAAAGGCATTAAATTTTGTAAACATACACCAAATTATTCAAGAGGCAAATTTAATTCTTTTATATAAAATTATCAATAATCAGGTTCCACCTTACCTTGAACAGTTTCTAAAAAAAAGATGTGAAATGCAAGGTTACGACATTAGATCAAAAGAAAATTTCCATATACAAAGATTTAGATTTAAAGATTTAGAAAAGTCAATGTTTTTTGAAGGTCTAAAAATGTACAACAATCTGCCTATTAATGTAAAAACATCTAGTAATGCTAAAATTTTCAAAAAGAGACCTCGGAGAGACTATTTTGGTTTGATGTGACGACCTCTTTGTAAATTTAACATATTTTTGTAAATAATATTTATTATTGTTTGAAGTAGCTCAAAGCTAAATAAAATCCTTTCTAGTCTATTTATGAGTAATTGAACAAATGCGCTACGATATTCGCACAACATGCGTTACTATACACATTTTAAAATAAAGAAGATGTGTCTGTCATCTTTTGTTGCGAATTACAAATACGAATTGTTTGAATTTGTTTAGAAGAAAAAACGTAACCACTCATTTTTTGCACAAAAATATCATTCATCTTCCGCAATGGTTTGCGATTCATATAGACAAGGTAAACTAGATATTTCAATATAAAATGCACTTTGAACCAACCCTGTATTTTGGCTCAATAAACTAGTAGTGATGTTCGGAAAACAGGTGTTTTGGGATAAACAGTTGGAAAATTCTCAAAAGTACTTGACCAATCTACTCCAATTTTATTGTGGTTATTTAGAAGTACGAATCCTACGAATTTGGAGAATTTCAAATATCTGCATGATACCATCGTCGCATTATCAACAAGTGCCAAAACCTGTAGTTTGCCTGGATTTTCGGCCATAACTTTTTTTATATTAGTCGGATCTTTATACGTGTGATCTCAGTTTGTAGGCCACAGAAATACCTAAAAATCTTATATAAAGAGTTTTTCCGTTTTTCTCATTCTTTGTTGTCGAAAAAAGTTTTCCCACAAAAATTCGTGTACCCATTTTAGGCATCCATGTTTTGAATACCCCCTTGAACAACTTGCAGCAATAAAACCAGACTTTACAATTATTTCGCAAGCCAGGGTTTTTTTCATCTAATATGATTAGACTAACTCGTTTAATTACAAATCGGATTTGCAAAAATCGTAATTGACAGATTCCTATAGCAATACGTTATAGATTTGATGCTAGTTACGGTGAGCGACTTCAAGATACTAGTTAAACTTTCTTTTTGTATTACGATCGTTCTTGATGTTTTTGTCGCGAGCCGCGTAAGTTTGTTTATACAGGGTGTCCGCAAAGTTGGGGTTTTCCTTTTCAGAAACAACTACCCTTGAAATAACAAAGGTAATGTGTAGTGAAACGAGGGCGACCAAGTCAAAAAAATAAAGGAAAAAGTACTCACTCTCCAGTTGACGAGAAGAGCTAAGTACGTCTCTGCCCGAAATCATACCGCTCCAACAGAAAATGAAATCAGCTGATGCGCTACCGAGCAGACGCAGAAACCACATTGATTGTCTTACACTTAATGGCACATCTTCTAACAAGGAAGGCAAAATGTTGCGTAAAAAGTCTAGGTATTGCATCGCGTCCAATCGATTTGGGAGAATAAATGGTCCAATGAGCATACCGTTCACCATGCCAGCCCAAACATTCACCGAAAATGAGTGACCAAACATGAGTGTTGCGAAAGTTATTCACCCCATTACGCGTGAACGTAGATTCGTATGTCACCAATATGCACTTCAAAAAGTCCGGATTATTGTCATGTTGATGCAACGACCACTCACAAAACCGCACTCTTGCTGGAAAATCGTCAGGTTGAAGGGCTTGTACACGTTGGACGTGAAACGGATACAGCCCCTCTTCACGCAGCGTTTGCCACACTTTAGTTTTTGATACTTGCACTTTTCTAACCACGTCTCTAGTGCTTGTTGAGGGATTCTCGTCTACGCGATTACCTCTACACGCGTGACCGTAACCGTCGGTTGAAGGTTGCCTACTGACCTGACACACTGACCCCGACCCGGTATTGTCGTCGGGTTGAGCCAGTGACCTTGTACCAGTCGGTGATGTCGCGGCTGCAGGACGGTATTCAGATATTTTTGATGTTACAGAGCCCTTTATCTTGGTTCCCTTAAGACATTGTTGTATATGGTACTAAGAAAAATTGCTTATGTTTTCAAGATCTACGCGTCGTGTAAACGAAAAACCCAACTTTGCGGACACCCTGTATAATGCTGAAGCCGAATGTTGCAAATTTATAAAAATGTTGATAAATGTTTTGTTTTTGAATTAAGCAACTTCAAACAGTATTTACGTGAAGCATGCCACAGGGCTGCACCTGAAATTCAATGAATAGTACTTTTCTGTAACTTCTATTTAAGCTTTATTCAAGCTTAGTTGTTCCGAAAAAAAGTGTCCGCATTCAAGACAGTATATGCAAAATCCCCTTCCTACACTCCGGAGATACGATTTTTATGTCGTGGTCATATCGTTTAACGATTTGGTCATCTACGATTGATCATATCGTAAAATAGAATACTTATCAAAATTCAGAATATCTTACGTACTCGTTTATTGTTCTTTAAGTACATTAAACGTTTTTATTAAGACTAGTAACTTTTGGAAATGAAAATATAATAATTATATTAAAACAATCTCAAATTGCACAATGTCTTAAAAATGAAATTGTTGACCATATCAGATATCACAAATTAAGTTATTACCTCGGATAGTCATCGTACTCTCCTTTATTTGACGTGTAACCTAAAAATGAAATAAAAACTTTGGATACGCAGAATAATATAGTAGTTTAACAGACCAACACAATATTTTAGCTGGCTTAGAACTTTGACTTCAAATAAGTGATGATAATGTAATTTAAGAGTGAAGTACTAACCTTTGAAACACGTCCCGAATTCCATAGCTTTTTGACATTTTCCCCAGTATTTGCATGACACGCAGGGCTATTACGTCAAAAAAAAAAGACAAAATGTCAACTTGCTACCTAGTTTCTAGTGTGCAAATAGTATATTCCGCGTTTGCTCGCTATGAGTGCTGTGAGTGTCATCAAAAGCGTCTATCTACGGAGATATGACTCGACGACAAGACACACTCAATTACGATGCTGCCGAGTGTGTAGGAAGATGTGTGATTGAGTAGCAGAGTAGCAAGATTACATCTGGATTGTTGCGTGTATTGGTCCGCAAGTGTATAAAATCAGTGATATTTGCTATGTGAGAAAATTATTACTGAATATGCTGCCCATGAAATATATCTACTAGCTGTGCCATACGAGTTATCTGTGTTGTCTTTTCTGAAGAGAGGTTATGTTCAAACTTTTACATTACGATCTTTCCCGTTATTTTTTGCGTTTTCGAAGCATTACGGGAAATCAGCACCGCATCCTCGGTGTGTAATCAAGTTAGGGATGACGCATGACATACAAAACATTCTCGTACTGCCTCACATAGGCGTTGATTTCCATTTTCTACTTTACATCGTCATTCGATAAAATTTAAATCGCTGTAAATAAAAATTAATGTGAAGTGTAATAGCTTTTTTTACGTTTCTATGTACCATACTTTCTCACCTGTTTAACCCATATCATACCAATGATACAAAACTAGTAAAAGTCATTGTTTTTTTTAATACACTTTATTAGTACATGCAAATGAAACGTTTACAGTTCTTCAATTTTTTTTTTGCCTACTGGTCATCCAAAAAATGCGTGGATCGATTGTGCACCGCTGGTACCAAAGACAAACTTTTAATAGTGCAAATATATTATATAGTACTTCAATCCCTTCAAAAATTGGAGATTTTTAGTGGAATTATTATATTTTATAATGGACATAGTTGAAAATTATCCAGTACATAGAACTTCCATGTTTTTTTGGTGTTGCGTTCACGCACCATTGGGATGTTGGCCGACAGAAATATATTCATTTCTGATGATGTTTTTCGAAGCAGGATATGTGTAAATGTACTTTACACCATGTGCACTGTGTGACTATGACATTCTCTGCAACGTCTTCGTGCCTTATTCGGGTGACGAGTTACAGCATGGCCACAGTCATCAAACCGAACCTCAACAACTGGTTGCAAATTTCGAGGAATATGACGCCTGTCTGTCTTCATAAGACGAAGGGCTACGTAGGATTTGAAATCCAATTGGGAAATTTTGTTCTGATTTACGGAATTATAAAGTTTCCAGCAATTAACGATGATACTGTCGATTGAATTACAAAATATGGGGTCACCACCATTTCTTTCCCATGACTCTAATTCTGTAGTTTGCAATGCCATTATCGTGAAGATCGACACCTCCCATACAGCGATTGTACCTAGCAATGACGTTTGGTTGCTGTACATGAATTTCTCTTTTTTCTTTCCTGTTGTATCGGCGGACTTGGTTTATAGGCTCAACATTCTATACATTGCTACAAATGGTAACTATAGCATTATCATTCCAACGAACCATTGAAATTTTGTTTTTTTTTTGTCATACGCGCAATCATACGCTCCTCGTTCTCGCTTGGACATGATTTTTGGTTCAACTAGCGGACAGTGTCCTGTTCGATTACTTCTTATAGTTCCTGTGGCATAAAAACCTTTGTTCTTCAGGTCAACTAGGAGTTGATATGAAGAAAAGAAGTTGTCAAAGAAAATATTATGTCTAGCAGGATAATCCACGTTGGCAAGTAAATTGTTGACGATTTCACCACCAAGTCCCAATGACGTCCTTTCTTTGTTAGCGATTGCTCCTGCATATGGAATAGAATAAATATCCATCTGACGAACATAAGCACCACTGCTTGAATCCAAATCGAACTGGCTTGCCTTTTATAAACATTTTGCAAGAATGCCTACCGAAATAAGGAACCATCTGTTCGTCAATTGATAAATTGTGTGCAAATACGCCCCACTGCATATTTTTTTTATTTACAGCGTCTAAATATGGACGAAGCTTAGAAAATTTATCATCTTTATCTAAATTACTATTATCAGATAAATGTATGTTTCGCTTTATGGCTTGGAATCTATTCCGACTCATGCACTTTTTCACTATGTCTATCCCCTTGTCCTCCTCGTTTGACCAATAGAGCGGAACTTGCGGCAAGGTGTGATACCCAGAAAACAGCATAATGCCTAGGAAGTTCAGAAGTTCTCCTTTGGACAAACAAAATCCATGTCTGTTGTTTTGTTGGGCGTATTTCACAGAAAAATCTAAAATCAAATTTATCAAATTATCATCAAAGAAAAGAAAAAACATCTCTAATGGCGTTTTTCCAGCCAGTACATTCTTTAAATGCTCCATATCAAAGTCTTCGTTGCTGATGGATGAATGAATGTACTCCAGTGGACCCTTTTCCCACTTTGGCTGGAGGGGCGGCACAGCAAAAGTTGTGGATGTGACTGGCACGGGGGGAGGAACCAGTCGCAATTTTTTTGACGCCAAAAACTCATCATCGGAAGTATCGAATCCATCATCGTCAAAAAAAATGGCTTCCTCTTTGTTTGGGATTTCAGCAGCATCATCTTCATTCATAAATGCGTGGAGTTCAAATGTACCAGCAATATCTGAAGGACCTGGTACATCAATTTCGGGTAGTAGCTCATCCTCTACATCCTCCTCATCAGTTACATTGTCTACATCTGGAGGTATGTAAACAGCATCAAGAGCACCTACGCAAAAATAAAAGGGATGCAAATGAGGTTAGGTTAGGAGTTTTCGCACACAAACCTTTTCTGTAGTTGTACAGTTCTTGTCCAGCTTCTTCAACGGCAGCTTCCAATTCACTTTGAGTCAGAAATCTTCAAAATGACATTCTTAAGATGGATGTATGCACATATCTCGATGGTATGCACTAAACACAAGTAAAACGCAACTAACGTAAACACCTGCAAATGCGTACTGCGTACGTCAAGTTCTCGCGCTAACTTGTCTGAACAGGAAAATACTTAACTGATAAAACCAATGGTGCACAAACGCACCAGCAAAGTTTCCTCTTGTATAAGTTCAATTATAAGATCGAAGCCAAACTTTTGACAAACAACATACAGACCACATAAGTTTCTTTTGCACTATTTACAGGTAATTATAGGAAAAAATGAGTCTAAACCATAATTCATTGAATTTTAGACATGTTTTACGGAACCAAATAAAATATTCATGTCAAAAACCACCATTTTTTTCCCTTTGCTGTCAAGGTCAAAAACAAATTAAATTTGGATACAGTAGCAACAGATTATCTCAAACTACACGTATTAAGCAGTTAGAACAAGGAACTATCCGGGAAAAAAATCATAAAATTGGCGGTGCGTAAGCGCACCACTGGGACCAAATGGGTTAAATATACTTCACCAACCAGGGAGTTTCTTTTCTTATCGCTCTCTTTTTTGAAATTCAACAAATTCAATAAATTTCCAGGTTGAATAAGAAAAAGTGGATGCGCAACTAATTTTTAGCTTTGCATGCGTCTCAAGTATACATCAGACGTTTAGGGAACACGTACAGCTACGGAACGAGTACATAACAAGTGTACAACAGCTAGTGCTAAGTTGACATCTTGTAGAAAAACCTACATAATGTCACCAAAAACCCTATATAATGACAAAAAAACGACATAATGTCACTTTTCAAGTTAAGTAATACCCCTGCCGCATAGTACTCGAGTATCTTTTAGTCCTAAAATATTTTATTCTCACTTCATTCATGTGGTAACGAATTATTAGAATGTTCACTCCATAAACTTTGCTATTAATGACCGCCTTGTTTAGATGCAAACAAAGGGCTCCCAGCGCCTCTATCGATAGTCAAAGTAATTATTTTACGATCTGATCAAACATGACCATTTCATGAAGTAGCCGCGTGTTTAGTTTGATCATATCGTTAAACAATTTGTTATCAATGACCCGGTCAACACACTTCATGATCTGGCCAATAGATAGTGATACATCATTTCGTGAAAGGCGACGATTTCATGAAATGCTTGATCACTTCATGAAACGATCAATTTTACGATATATCCACGACATACAGTAATGGACAAAAGTATATAGACAAATTAATATTGCGCTGCATTTCTTTTTTATTTTGTTTTATTAATACACCAAGCTATATACATAATTCGTTGTAGCATAATACTCACTTATACGTAAATAAATTCATTAGACTCCCTTTAATAAAAAATTAATTGAAAAGAACTGGAACTATGAAGGACAGAAATATATACACCAAAGAAAACAATTATAGAAAAAAGAAGCAAAGTTCAATGAATTATAGAAAACCAACCATGTTTGTGTTAATATTTTGTAGCATAACCATTATTATCAATCACCGCCTGGCATCGTCTCGGCATAGATTGTCGAAGTTTCATCAATCTGTCCCCACTTTTGCTCTAAAGCGGCAAAAAGTTCAACCTTGTTTGAATAATGTTTATCTCGTATTTGCTTATCTAAGTATTCCCATAGATTTTTAATGGGGTTTATATCGGGAGACTGTGAAGGCCATTTGATAGCTGGTTTTTTTTCATCCACAAAGAACTTCTTTGCGAGATTTGAAGTGTGCTTCGGGTCATTATCTTGCTGGAAGAATGATCTTGAGGGCATATATACAAACTTATCCATAATGTCATCTATTCTAAGTAAAGGTCCCATCCCAAACTCCGAAAACCACCCCCAAACCGTAACAGACCCGCCTCCATGTTTGACAGTGGGCAAAGTGTACTTGGGGTTCAATCTTTGTCCACTAGGATGTCTAACGTAATGAACACCATCTGATCCAAACATATTGAACTTGAATTTATCACTGAAACATGCCCTCTTCTAGTCACAGGTGGTCCAATCAAGATGCAACCGTGCAAATTGTAATCGGTCCCTACGGTTTTTCTTGGAGATTAGCGGCTTTTTACTCGGGCGACGTGCAAATAACTTCAAATCATTTAATCTTCTACTTATAGTTATCGTAGAAACACTGACAATGCCTTTTGTCTTGATTTCGGCTTTTATTTGTCTTAGGGTTTTAAACGGATCTTTGGACGAAATTACTTTTATTAATCTAACTGATCTAGCATTTAGTTTTCTAAGCCGACCACTTCTCTTACAGGCTTCCAAGATACCTTTTTGTTTATATTTGTTCAATATTGCCCAAACTGCTTTACGCTTCAGCTACAAATTTTTGGCAGTGTCGACTTGACGTTGACCATCTTTGTATAACTCATTATCTTAGTTTTCACATCGAAAAAAATTTCTGGACCACGCGGCATGGTCTTAAAATCACTCAACTTATTCCACAATACTTGATGAACACAAACTAATCCTCTTCTGACACGAAACTGAACTAAACTAATGTTGAAAAGAGTTTCTCTACATATTTTTGTCCCTCATAAAAAAGTACTTATATTCAGACTTGTATTGTGTTCATTGCAGATAATATAAAAACAAGGAATTTAGTTTTTCTGCTAATAACGCATTTGTTTATGGAGCAATGAAGTATGAATTCGTTTTCTAAAGGTATTTAGGTAAATATTCATATTTGTCTATATACTTTTGTCCATTACTGTATATGCAACTAGTTTTCCTCTACCACTGATGATAAAACTTGAAAAATGAGAGACTGCAGTCTTCAAAAGGCTCCAAAGAATTTTATGACTTCGCCAAAAGTTGCGACGAACTATGGAAAAACAGAAAGATAATCTTTAGTACTGTTTTGTTTTCGGTCATAACTTCACGGGTTATCACTACGTAGGCATCAACAAGTATCCAAAGAACTTGTAGCCACAGGTCTGAAAATTTTGACGGGCACTACACCTAAACGTATTTGTATATCTTTCAGAAAAAAATCTGGTCTACGTATTATCAAAACTGCTACCATGTCATACGAAGGATGTCTTTTAAGTTTTGCATATGGAAATAAAACAACACGGTAGGTAATTATAAATGACTTTATTGTTTTTCGAAGTATTCTCCACGAAGATTAATACACAACTGCATGCGCTGGAACCAATTTTCGAAGCACTTATTAAACTCGTTTGCTGGCAGAACCAAAACGGCATTTTTGAATGCGTCAACTGCTTCTTCTGGTGAGTGGAACCTATGACCACGCAGTCTGATGTTAATTTTCGGGAAAGTAAAGAAATCGTTAGGACTTAAATCGGGACTATTTGGAGGATCGTCCAATAATTTCTCTGCCTTGTTTTTTGGGCTGTGTGCGAGCTTGCATTGTCTTGGTGGAGGATGATTCTTCTTTCGGGGTTGATTTTTCAAAGCTCGGTGATGACTTTTGCCAAACAAATGGTGGTATAACAGTTCTTTGCTCATTAAGAGGAATTGTTGCAATATGACCCGCTTTTGACACAAATGTCGCGACCATCTTTTTCGAAACACTTCGAGAACGGATGACTTTTGTTGGCCTTTCTGCACCTTGGAACACCCAAACAGCCGACTGTCGTTTATTTTTTGGTTCATAACAGTAAATCGACGATTCATCACCACTAATTAACCCTGGCTGCTTTCTGCTCTTCAATCAACAGGTGGGGTATCCAACGAGAAACTAATTTTCTGACTCCTAATTCTTCATGTAAAATTTTTTGAATTGAGGCTTTGAGATCTTCAAGGACGCCCCAATCTCGCGATTTGTCACGTGTCTATCTTCAATGATGAGTTTGCGCACAGCATCGACGTTTTCCTGGGTGACTGTAGTTTCTGGTGCACCCACCCTGGGATCGTCGCTAAGACTCACCCGTCCACGTCTGAATTCTCCATACCAACGGGAAATTGTCGAATGATATGGCGCTTCGTTACCAAAAACAGACAGTAACTCAGCAACGCATTTTTGTTGCGATAATTGTCTCTGAAATTTGTTATAAATTATGGCGCGAAAATGTTCTCGGTTGAGTTCCATTTTTCTAATGACTTGGTGACACTTAAAAATCCACTGTAGTGAGAACACTGCACGTATTGTTGTGAAACTTTGAATTTAAGTTTACTAAAGAGTGAGGTTAAGATTCAGTACTGACGTTTGATCTGCGCGGCCTACTGTGCAAAAGTTAAAAGACATCCCCGTACCATACCAAATTATAACTTTACCTATACTTAAAAATTCCTGTCATATATTTATCTTGTCAATGAAAGTCTATTATTATGCAGCCTGAAACTTATCATATGTCAATCAATTTAGTTATAATATATACAATCAATTTATAAGAAAAATGATTTGGCACAGGGAAGCAGAATTTTCTAAATTGGAGCAATGCGATATTTTTCATCCAAATCGCAATTACGACCACCAAGCAAGGCTGTTATTAGAATAATTGGTGAGCGACAAACGTGAATTTGTTATGCACAATCATCAAAAAATTGGTACAGATATTTCCAATTTGCATTTAGTATTGGTTTCGCCATCATCTAGTTTTTCTTAAAACATAATAAATTGTTTAACTACAACCTGTCAATTCGAGTTTATGTAATAGTGCATTTATGAGTGTGATGAGAATATTGAACAAGTTAAGGTGCTGAATATGGATTCATGCTTGTTGAACATAGTTTTCCATAAAGCATGTAAATACTTTTGACGTCTACCACTCAAATGGAGTATTACTAAATTTTGAGTGACGTTTTGGTATGACCCTTTATTTAATGAATATACAGGGTGTCCGCAAAGTTGGGGTTTTCCTTTACACGACGTGTAGATCTTGAAAACATAAGCAATTTTTCTTAGTACCATATACACCAATGTCTTAAGGGAACCGAGATAAAGGCTCTGCAACATCAAACATATCTGAATACCATCCTGTAGCCGCGACCCGCGATATCACCGACTGGTACAAGTGGGTCGGGGTCAGTGTGTCAGGTCAGTATGCAACCTTCAACCGACGGTTACGGTCACGCGTGTAGAGGTAAACGAACCCGAATAATCGTTTGCCTTTCAAAAAACATCAAGCACTAGAGACGTGGCTAGAGAAGTGCAAGTATCAAAAACTAAAGTGTGGCAAACGCTGCGAGAAGAGGGGCTGTATCCGTTTCACGTCCAACGTGTACAAGCCCTTCAACCTGACGATTTTCCAGCAAGAGTGCGGTTT